AGGAGTAGGGATGAAATGATCAATGCACGTTTTCGTTTTGAACCCATTAAAGATCTCCCAGTATACGGGTTTCAAAGACAAGGAATCATGAAATAAGATACAGTGGTGATCACTGGATAAACCTGACAAGCCAGTTATTATACAGTGGGAGTAGAATAATCACTGAATGTTTCAAGGCTTGACAATGCCGTAAATATCAATTCAGTTTATGTAACTACAGTATAACTCACCGACGATAGATAATATAATCTTGCCCCGCCGATAAGACAGCTGGTTAGATCAGTAAATACACCATTTTATACCATTCATCCAGTTCCAAGGTCAAGTACATACCAGAGTGGATAAAACAAACTAATCAGCATTGTTCTGTACATAATTACACCACGGAAAATAATGATAATGCATTATTTAAGGTGAAGCTTTTCGTGAATGCTCAACTCACAAATGGGTGTAGACAACACATGAAAAGAATGGGGGCGGGACAGGGTAGGACTGGACACTGCAAATTAATGGTGGCTCGAGCCAATACAGTAGTTTATATTCGCGCGTCTATAGGCCACGAGTGTTCCTCAGCGCTTCAGCAGTTTTTTGGTAGGTTTTTAATGATGTAGACGTATAGCGGATAGGACAGGATAGGACAGTTCACTGGGCTTGCGGCTCAAGTGAGTATGGTAGTCCAGTTTTTTGCGTCTACGGGCCATGTATGTCGTTACGCTTCGACAGCGAGTTGGTCCGTCTTTGATAGTGTAAGGGTACTGCCGCGGAGCATGGATGCCAATCCCGTTTGCTGTCGATGAAAGCAGCGCCAGCTGATCAGTCGCAGGCTAACCAGGAGGTCGGAGTACCCCTCCAGCAAACAGTAGAAAACCCGCAGGCATGCGAAGATAGGTTCAGATAAGGAAAGAAAAGTAAGCTATTTCGGGGAGGAGGGTGTAGAGAGCTGGAGTTAGACAAGGGAGGTGAAGGTATTTGAAATATACGGGAATGATATAGCTAATAATACAGACGGAGGAGGGTGGTATTTAGGAAATCTAACGATGTAGCAACCAACAAGGACTATTTTTCTTGAGGCTGATTCGGGGAATTGATGTTCCATACATCATCAAGCCTTTTTTAACAGGTCCAGCGTGACAACCACATCAGGTAATCTATTCCAGGTGTTGACCACTCTATGACAGAATTAGTTTGCCCTTTATCTCTTTAATGCACGAGGTTTGACCAGCTTCAGCCAGTGTCCTCTTAGGGCTGGGTTTTCACCGAGGGAGAACAGTTGCCTGTTAGGCTGTAAAAGTCCTTTCAGTATGTTAAAATCCTCTGTTGGTTCACCCCTCATTGGTCTTTGAGATGGAAAGAAGAAGGTTAGCTCCCTTAGAAGCATCAAGTACGACATCATCCTTAGGGCAGGAAAAAGCCTACTGAAACGTCTCTGGACGTTCTTCAAAGCCTTTTGGTCGCGCACGAGGTTCGACGCCCATGCCTGCACACAGTATTCGAGATGTTGTTTCATCAGAGCCTTGTAGAGGGGGAGTAATATTGCGAAATCCCTCAATATTACGGTTCTTCTCAGCAAGAACAGTGCCTTTGAAGTCTTTGTAGAGGCTAGCTAACACTGTCTTGCAAGCTGGAAAAAACATATATGATCATGCCTTGTGCATGCTTCACGGTTTTCGTGAAATATACATTATTATTATTATTATTATATTACTTAGATCCCTGACCTCATCGGTGATTTCCACCAGTGTGGACCCCGTGGCAGTTATCACCCTCGTCTCTGCGAGGGATCCACTAATGGTAGCTGTTTGCACTTGCCAGCGTTTAACAGCAACAGCCATTCCTCTGTCCACTTCTGGACGTCGTCCAGGTCGTCCTGAGTGGCATTTGTAGAGGAATCACCGACGATGTCATCGGCAAATAAAAAGGATGGGTGTACTATGATTTTGGTCAAGGCTTCTATGTAGCTGAAGAATAGTAGAGGTCCCAGCACGGATCCTTGGAGCACACCACTACAGACTCCTCTCCGAGTGGACTTTTCATCCTCTACTCTGACATAAAAGGACCGGCCAATTAAGTACCCCATTATCCATCTGACGAACTGTTCAGAAAGACGGAATATCCTTAGTTTTTCGATCAACAGTCGGTGGTTGACCGAGTCGAATGCCTTTTGGAAATCTAGGTGACAGACTTCCACATTCTCCCCGAGGTTGAGCCTTTGGGTGATCTCATCCATGAAGTCCAGCTAGTCTGACAGGCGTACGTTTTACACAAAACCGTGCTGGTTTGGCGATATCAAGCCCTGACTCCATCCGTGCTTTGCAATGTGATCCTGAGGTTTCTTTCCATGATCTTTAGTGGAGTTGGCAGCAGGCTGATCGGCCTATATTTTCCTACCAAGTCCGTCTACCCTCTCCTGTGGCGGAGGAAAGAAGTCAATCTGGTTTCATTTTGATGAACTCTCCATTGGCTGATCGACCACATGTTAAAACCAAAAGCTCTGATTATGCCTTGAGAAAAGACAGCAAAATATCCACTGGTATACAAAGCTTAGAGTGTAAGTACAAGTTTAAAGAGAAGGCTGAAGAAAGAGTAAAGTAAAGTTGGAATAAAGTTGACGATGAGGCGGACAAATAAAACAGAAGTAGGACGGGTTAGTAATTGGATAAACTAGATAGTAATCACAAATAAAAGAGAGATGGATGGGAGTGGTTAAGGGTAGGATTTAGTTTATAAACTACCGTAAGGGACTGATGTTTTCTAATTAGGTGTAATCGATGAAAACCACGTTCCACACTTCATCAAGGGTACCTAAATAGGTAATCACATTAGGTAGTCAATTCCAGGTGAGGACCACTCTTTCTTTACCGCACCAGTCTTCACCATTTTCAGCTGGTGACCTTATAGAGCTGAGTCCGTTTTGAATATTCGTCCCAAATGGAGACAGAACCAGAGATTGCGTTTATTGAAAACGATATATTCTGAGATCTTCAGAAAGGTTTGAAGTCGATTTAGCTAAGCCTAGGCTGATATTTAAGCAACGGCAGCAGAAACCTGAAAGTAGATCTGATCAATGCAACGAAAGCGTGTAATACAGAGCTCACCGTGGGGAATTGTGTCGGTGCACGCTTTTTGAGTTCATTAAAAGAACGATAATGGTTAAAGCAAAACTTAATCCTGGAAACGTCCAAGTTGCTATATCCAATAGAGAAACTTTCCTCAGAGGATAGCTATCGCCAACTAATGGTGATGAATGCTAAATCTGGACGTTACACTTGATTGTATCCGGTGGATAAGGGTCCTTAAGGAAGAAGGGAAAAGCCTGACGGTAGTTTAGCTATCTGATCGATAAGCTAAGTCGCTACTTAATTTCTGAACTTTGATGGTTCTGATAGGTA